ATTGATACCCTTTCCTATCTTAGTAAAGGAATAGTGTTCTCGCGTTAGAGGAATGGGCGTAAATATAAGATCAAGCGAGTGCGGAAAAGAAAGTAGGGAACATTTATTATCATTATCTTTGCAGGACACTACAGATCTAAGAGTACTTTAAAAAATTGGTTTTCAGTAAGTGTTCTATGCACCTTACACTGTCTTCTTATCAATAAATAAGAAAAGGTAGGAAAAATGCATGAATAAAATTTCATCTATTACTTTTCCGTTCGTTAATGGTTTATATTGACGTAGCAAATACCCAGGTAACATTCTTTGCTTCAACTTTGAGTATATTTTCTTAACACTGTAGAAAAAAGTAAAGTTTCTTTTCCACTGGTGGCTGTAGTTCTTCTACTTGTTTTTGAAATTAATATATTTGCTAGTATTCTTTTACTCTCGAAAAGTCGTGACTTGCCTTAGAGACATCTTTTTCGTTTCTTTATCGTACACGCATAGCTGCGCTTGAACTATTCTTGTTTGGTTGATATATCGTCCAGCTTTAACCATAAATTTACAGGTGACGCAGGTTTAATATAAATAGTATTTATTATCCTGAAAATCAGCAAAAATGGCGATGGCAGCTAGAGGCCGTAATCAGAAGCTTCCTCCCGAAGTAAACAGGATACTTTACGTGAAGAACTTGCCATATAAAATCACTAGTGAAGAAATGTATGATATATTTGGCAAGTTCGGCGCAGTCAGACAGATTCGAGTGTTAGTTTGCCGTTACTTGTAGTTAGTTCCAGAAAGTTTTGTGTAAATGAAGTGTTGTTTATGGAAGCTTGGCTTTTGAATTAGAAATTTACCTGAATGGTTGAATCCCATCATGTCAGTTTTGATTTTGTCTCAGAATTAGCACTTCGAAAACCTGAAAGATGGCAGTTTTTGGTTTCTTACTTTTTTTTTCTTTTAAAGGGGTAATACAGCTGAAACTCGTGGTACCGCCTTCGTGGTTTATGAAGACATTTTTGATGCAAAAAATGCCTGTGAACATCTTTCTGGCTTTAACGTTTCGAATCGTTATCTCGTAGTATTATATTATCAGGTAATTTTAGTCATGAGTTTTCAGTTACTGGCTCTTAGCTTCTTGATCTCATATGCTTGGTTTTATTACTGAATTTACATTTTAAATAAACACGGAATGTTTCTTTTTAGAATTTTTTTTGAAGCTATTCTAATTTTTGAAACGTTTTGAGGTTAATATTTTTAGGCCACAAAGGCATATAAGAGAATGGATACCGAGAAAGCAAAGGAAAAACTAGAAGAGATTAAAGAGCGGTACAATCTTGGCGGTGACCTAGAAAAGGAAAAGAAAGAAAAATTGGGATATACTCCAACTCCAAGACGATAATGGATTGCATTCAATTAATTTGAATTTTTTTACTTTGATCTCTTGTGCCGTGCATCTGTCTTGTTATTGGAGATGGCTCTCTTTTTATGAAAATGGGCTTTAAACATTGAGTATTTCGAAGATGATTTGAAAGTAGTCCTATTAAACCTGCAAATTCAGACGTCTAAAGTAGAAGCCGAGCGGCGCTTTGCAAGAAGTGATTTGTATTTTACATTAGAAAATTTTGATTTCTATTCAAATAGATATTTTGTTGTCTTTTATTGCGGTCTCTTGTTACTGTTAATTCCTCACATTAATTTGGTTTATCCTTTATTATGTTATGATTGTCGACTTAAGTGTTTGCATGGAATTGGTCACGCAGCCTTTCTAGGCTAATGCTATTACTATTTTCTGTTCTGAGTTTGATATTCGTTTTCGATATAACCGTGGACCTAAGGCTGCTGATAGTCTCATCCTTTTTCTTCACAACATTTTTTTGTGTTAGAATAATGTTGGTAATAAACAGTACCTAGAGCATTCTAACCGGAAAAGATTGTGATATTTTGTTTAAAGCGTGTTTTTAGTAATAACGATTGTTGTTCGATAGAAGTCATGGTATTCCTACAACAAGACAGTCGGGATTTTTTTGTCAGCAATTTGACGTTGGTTCTCTTAACACTCTTTAATTATCAAACTGAAGATAGAGCAATAATTCTTTAGGTTGATGGAACTTTGGTTTAAGATTTGGTTCTTTGAGCACCACCGGTTTGTTGGTACTGCTTTACATGTTTTTTTTTTTTTGAATTCAGTTGGATTTTGATTTACGGGATGGCTTTGTAATTCAATGTGCAAATCAGAAGAGCGAAAAAGCTCGGTTTTTCCTGTTGGCGTTGGTGTTATGGATTACATAAGTGGGAGAATTAAGAAGAAGGTGTTAACAGAATCACTAATTTTATTCTTTTACATGGACATTCCTTGTTCGTTATCATCATGGGTATTTTTAACAAAACAATGTAGCATCGTATTTTTATACTGAGGGAGCAAAGTAATACAGTGGTAGAGTTCTGAATATTTTTAATTTTTTTAAATTATGATTCTCTTGGGTTTTTTCTGTATTTTCATTGTTAAGAGGTGTAGTGATAAATAATTGCTTCTTATTGATGCATAGGAAAAGAATGGAATGAAAAAGTGTTATTTTATCGTTTGTTGGTTCAGTTTTCTTTCTTGTAGTATGTATATTTGTTGCGTGTTATCCCATCTACAGTTTTAACAAGTGGAATTTCTTTACAGAGTAGGAGAACTGAGCTCATTGTTTTATGTTGTTTTTTTTTCGTTATTTTGTCGGTGTTGCCTTGAAGCTCCTTATATCTAAGAGAAACAGTACAGAGAGCAGAAAATTAAAAATTTAAGAAACTGAAATTATTTACAGTAATGTTTGTCAATATAATAGGTGCATGTTTTGCACTTAACATAACAACAGTGAACGTATTTACACTGACACTGCTCTTCAACCTTTACTGTTTTGGTATTATAACCACGACCACAGCATAGACTTCCACAGCCATCAGCACCCGGTGAAGTTACGTTACATTCTCTGTAAAAAAGAAAAAAGAATGAGATTTTGAACGGTAAGTAGCATTTACTGTACATGAAATCAGA